TTTTTTTTTAATTGTTTGTTGTTTCTCCCTCATGCTAGAATGTAAGTTCTGGGTGAGCAGGGCCTTTCCTGCCTTTATTTCTTGCCATATTTTCTGCCCCTAGAGCAGTATCTGGCATGTATCCTTGTATTTAGTAAATACTTGTTCAGTTGATGAATAAACTTTTTAAAAATATTTGGAGGAATGTATGATAACAGTTTCTCCAAGTTGAAATTATCTCTCATTAGTCTTAATATATAGAAACACATTTTCCTGTTTTGTAGATTTTATAATAACCAGTATAAATAATCGAGTATAATTGTCTCCTATAGACTTAAAGAATTATCAATTAATATTACATTTTTTTAGAACTTGTCCTTTTTTATTCACTGTTATGTTCAGGCTCATTTTACCCATGCATTTATTCTTGAACAGTGAGTCATTTATGTCTTTAAAATAAAAAGCTATAGTTGACCTCCAGCCTTTTGGATACAGTACTTTAAAGGGCTTACAGATTAAAGATGATACTCAATAAAGGTGGAACTATGTTATTTAATGCTCCAAATTGGAACATTTGAACAAAATTTACTGGGAACGAAGAATAAAGCATATAAAAAATGCAGCCCTTATAAATCTTATGACAGATTATTAATATTGCTAATTTTGAGTATTATATGTCTTCCTAGTGTGTTTTACTGTTATATTCAAGTGTGTCTCATTCTCTTACTCTCTCTTCTTGCGTGTATCTTTATATTTGTGATTGTGTGCGCAGTTTCTCCCAGTAATCTTTTCTGCTTCAGAAAACTCTTCCTTTCGTTCTTTTGTTCTTAGACTCTTTGCTCATGCCACACCCTTCCCAAAATTTGACCATAATATAAAACTGGTTTATACATTTTTATTATTATATCTAATTAAGTAGAGTATCAGATTCCATTTTTATTTTTGAGCAGGAGTTGGCTTTTTATGTGGCTTTATTTTGAACTTTTGCTGATTAACTTTTGATTTCTTGGCTTTTTTTGTTTTTAACTTCTATCGATACGGTAACTTTTGGTCAAATACAATTTTTAATCTGTAGTAACTGGGCCTTGAAGAATTTCCAGCCTTACAGTTCATCATCCACATGATCTTAGGGATGTTAGGTAGCTGTTGATATTTTCTTCATCTACTTGTAGAGCTAATTTCTATCACTGAGCTTTATTGTTCGAGTAAAATAATAAAGAGAGGCAGGAAGCAAGCATTTTATTTTGAAGCTGAATCCCTGTTAGATTATGCCTATTGAAATTTGCAATCCCTCTCACCTTCTCCCTGTATAAGTTTTCTTTTTCTGTTCCTTTTGACATGCCTTCCCTCCCTCCCTTTCTTTCTTTCTTTCCTCTTTGGCATAAGTCCCACAGAAGATAAAAAGGGTAAAGAGTTTCATGGGATAGGATAACTCCTCTCTGTCAGCCAGTCAGTGCTTTAACTCTTTCAGGTCCCCTCCTTTGTCAGTCAGGGAGTATTTGGGAAGGGCCGTGGGGTAGAGTAGGTAAGAGGTAGAGGTTGACTTCATTCCACCTTGTGTTTACCCAAGCCTGTCATTCCAGTTCACACACGGAAATCCAATCCTGCCTGGAACAAGAAGAACTTCTTCAGTGTTAATCCTGTGTTAATGAATTTGTTAAATCAATCTCTGCTAATGCAGAGAAGAGAATACTTTGTTGGATGTAAGAGATTTTAGTGTTTAACTATACCTCACTTCAGGAGCATGGTGGGAAAGATGCTCTTTGAGCCCGGCCAGGGAGTACCCAGCTAGGCCATTACCTGCACTGAGCATGTTTAAGAAAGGAGAACTGGCAGGAGCAAGGGTCATTTTCATTTCAGTTTTTAAAGGTGCAGAGGGAGTTTCTTTATTGTTGTTAAGACATTTCACTATTCATATTTGGTAAGGAACTAAGGAAATATCTTAAAGTTATTATTTTAATGGATGATTTAATTAAATTTATTTGTAGTAGAAACTATTCTAGAAACCTTTTAAAAACACTTTTAAGAATACATGAAATAGAAAAAAAGTCTTCTAAATTATAGAAGGGAGCAAAAGAAGAATGAAAATCATGAATGGGACCATTAAAAATAAAGATCGGACAAAAATTTGCCATTGAGATTGGACAGAACCTATAATGATGACCTACATACTTGCCTAGGTTAGAATGGATTTGGCTTTAAGCCTCCTCGTGGTCAACAAAAGAAAAAAGTTAATTTTTAAATTTACTATACAATGAGTACAAAAACAAACCTATTGCTCAGAAGAAGCAAACTGTTCTTGTTACAGAAACCTGAAAGGACTTTCTCCAAGGAGTCTACGTGAAAGTGCCCCTGTGTGATCTAACAAATAACACTCCCAACAGTAATTTAGAGGAAAAGCAAGGGTGACTGTTACAGAGCTATGTCCTATGACAAGTGTCAGTGCAGACTGATGGTATCATGCTGAGCACCAGTCATTAAGGGAATAATTCTGTGGAGTGGGTCAGGACCAGTATGCTCTGAGCTGCAGAACCTCCTTCTCTGCTGGTCTGACTTGATTTCTTTCTTTCTTTTTTTTTTTTTTTTAAGATTTTATTTACTTATTTGACAGAGATCACAAGTAGGCAGAGAGGCAGGCAGAGAGAGAGGGGAGAAGCAGGCTCCCCGCTGAGCAGAGAGCCCAATGTGGGACTCGATCCCAGGACCCAGAGATCATGACCTGAGGCGATGGCAGAGGCTTCAACCCATTGAGCCACCCAGGAGCCCCCTGACTTGATTTCAACACATCTTTTATTAAACCTAGAAAATGGGTCATGTGTTCCTGAATCTGTTCTTAAATATCTTGTTTTTTTTTCCTCAGATGAATTTTGTTATATATTTGGTGGCACTGATAGCTGTGTTCCAGGAGTAAAGCTCTTTCTTCTCTGAGTATATATGACACTTTGATAGAATGTGAGTTTGAGGTTGGATTGGCTTTTGAAATCTGGATGGCTAAAGAAAGATGCTGGCCTCTAGGGGCAATCCAGCCTATGGAGCTGCTAAAGATGTGCCCTAAGAAAAAAGAAAAAAAAAATTTTCAGCCTAACAATTCTTGGAATCTGCCTTGGCATCCAAACAAATGGTAACAAAGTTCTACCATCCCTGTGTTGTGGTCACAGTAAATTTAACCCGACAGATTTTTCAAACCAGATACCCACTTGGTATAAAAGCTCTGCACACTCATAAGACTTTTTCTAGCTTTGAGCATAGTGACTCCTTAGTTTATCTTTGAAGGTAAACTACTTGTCAAATACATATTAAGAAAATGAGAGGAAGGAATTTGTTGAGTAGGACTATTATTTACACTCCAGTTAAAAATTCAGGGACAACTTACCCAAAGGAACATTTGGTTACAAAATAAATGATCTATAGCTCTTTTTTCCCCTGTCAGGTGTGAGTTGACAAAGATGTTCCTTATTAGTGATAGCAAAACTTATGGCACCCTAAAGCTTAAAAATAATAATAAACTACTTGTCTCAAATGCTAAGAGAACTGCATGCTGTAGCTGACAAAAGTTGGCATTGTGTTATTAATTTTAAAAGAAGTTAACAAAAAAAAAAGAGAAAATACCCTCTTATACCTCACAGAACACATTTTTATCATTCATCAAGAGCCTTTTTACTTTTTTGACTCTAGCAGAGTTAGGTGCTAGTTCTGAGTTCTGAGTAAACATCAATGTATTTGCAAAGAATTTCCCAATGGGAAACAGTTAAGGTTTATGTTATTGTCAAAGGCAAAAAAAAAAAAAATGCTCCAATTATGTGATGCTCATTACTGTGACTTTTCCTATTAATAATCTGCCTAGAAGTCAGGTATCCATGCTTACTGACAATTACCCTGTGGTCACTCAGTGATGATAATTGCTGGTAATGAGATGAAAAGCAGAGTATCAGCTGACTACACAGTATGCTAGAAATGAGGAAATTCAGCTTCTGGCCTTCACTCAGTCAGTGATTTTATGATATTTGTCATATCTTTTGAACATTTTGTATCTCAGCTTCTCCATCGGTTAAACTGAGTTTGAAGTAACTGCCCTGGTCTGTCTCACAGGAATGTTGCCTGGACAAATTGGATAAGTGTAAAAGTGCCTTGGAGGTAAAGCCACTCTGCGAATAAAGATTAGTATGATGGAGCTACTGAGAAGTGTGTTGCAGAGGCTAGAATGGTTCATTTCTGCAGGCTTCGTGACTAGATAAAGCTTCATAATGGATTCCTGTCAAGCAAACCAAACCCATCTTATCAGTTCATGACTGTATAGTATTTAATGGAAAAAAATCTCTTTACAAGCATTTGTTACCTTGATACAAATGTGCATTAAAAATCACTCATGTTTCAATTAAATAAAACCTTCCTAAGTAGCTTCAAAACAGTCTCTAATAGCCAGTTGACAGTTTCCATCGTCTATTTGGAGGGGTCATAAACATCTGATATGCTTAATAAAGTTGAGAAATAAGGAATGAAACAATGTGTGGGGAACAGAAGTGGACCACAGTGTTTCCTCGGGTCATAATTGCTTTGAATTTTAAGAGTCTGACATTACCAAATTAAGATTTCTCTTGTTTATTTTATTTATAGAAATGTCAAATTCTCATCTCTGCCTAAGCCATGTAATATTTTCTGGTTACTTCATTTTCCACTGGAGTTAACATCCTCATTTTCAGTCATAATCATGATACAGAGTCGCTCGTTGCAGCTTGAAAAACATGACCAGGTCTCTTGAAGATGGAAAAAAATGGGGGAAATGGCCTTCCTCGAAAGAATCCCCTCCTTGAAAGAATCCCGCTTTTTACTCTTCCCTTTTTCTCTCTTCACGTAAATGCTCAGAGTTCCTATGTAAATTTACAGCACCCTTGTTTTCAGCCCTTGAGAAGGATAATCGAGCAAGAATTTAATTGTTTTGACATTGCACCAAAGAGATTCTGTCCAGGCTAACTTCAGAAACTTTTATTCCCCAGCCAATTTGATCTCTTTTCTTCCGTCAGGGGACCATTCCTAGTGGCACTGGGGAAATCTTGGCATCCAGAAGAATTTAACTGTGCTCACTGCAAAAATACAATGGCCTACATTGGGTTTGTAGAGGAGAAGGGAGCCCTGTATTGTGAGTTGTGCTATGAGAAATTCTTTGCTCCTGAATGTGGGCGATGCCAAAGGAAGATCCTCGGAGTAAGTGTCAGAAAACCTGTTTATTCTGATTGAGCTTTAAAGCACAATGATTTTTTTTTTGTTGTTATGAAACCCTTTCAGCAGTTTTCCTTTTTATTTTCTTCTTACTTGATCCCCTCTCTGTTTTCGTCACTGTTTATTATTGTAAAGCAAAACTAAATAGACCTTTGTAGAAGTATATCGGACTCGTGGGGTTAAGTTATCTTTGGTTTTATCTTACTGAGTGCTTGCTTGTCTGGTGAAAGTCTAGCCACTGTGGGGGAAAAATAATTTACTGTGGGTGTGCTACCTCAACAGGACCCTGTTTGCTCAGGAATGAAGAGGTCGCACAGGACCACACACATCAGAGTTCTCAGAACTGACACCTTCACTGTTTTAAATTAAATTCCATAGCTTTTATAAGAGCAGCATTTCCCTATTTGTCAGGGTTCAAGCACGGGGCACAGATCTCATGAAATATATAAAACATGAGACTTATAAATGATATATTTTTCTTAAACACATGGAGTGTTTAAAAATATAACTTATTTTATGAGCATATACATGTGATAGAAAAATAATCGAGGCACCTTTTTTTTTCTTTTCAAAAAGGGAGTAATTTAGGAGTCAGATATATAATAAATAATGATGAATGAATGGATTTCTGCTCCGGGATATCCAGGATGCAGTTTACAAAGAAAGGGTCAGTCATTTCATATGGGTGACAAGGAGTTGGAATTTTATTTTAGAAGTATCCAAGGTGCCTGGTCTCACACGAAACTCATACAGCTAATACAGAAGAGGGGAATGGCATTGCTGAATTCTAATATTCTCTTTATAAAAATAAAATAATGAAACTTTAATTCATATCAGTTGAGAGAAAAGCTAATATGAATTATTGAGTACTTTGAATTTCAGATTACGTCTTTAAATGGTTCTAAAACTTTGAGGACACTTAAATTGTAACTATGCCACATTAAATATTTCTATATTATTAATTTGTACAATATGTTGGGAACAAATGAGTAGAATTATACAGGCTGTAACTTCCTAAAGGATAAATAATAAGACTCTTTCAATATATAAATATATTCTGTAAATTCTAGAATAATTAATAATACAGAGTCCAGTAATAATCTTAGAACCAAATGAGGTTCTAGAAAATGGAAATCTTACCCTCATTGCCTTAGAGATGGACCATAACTTCACTACAGAGACAGATTCTCTGGGTTGTGTTTTAGTTGTTTGATTTCCTGTTAAAGAAGGAATAGTAATCTGTCTCAAGGATTGAAAGGGAAGTAAATGCCAAGAGCCTTGAGAAACAACTTGGTTCAATGTACATTTGTTGTACATGTTCATAGTAATCTTTTTGGATCTAAACAACTGCCATTTCTCCTCAGTATCCTTCAGTAGTGAACTGTGACATTTTCTAAGGCTAATAATTTACTCTGTCATTTTATTTTATTTCAGCAATTTTTATTATTAAAAATATTTCAAAAAAAAATTTCACTCTACAGCAATTAGAAAATACCCAAAAATGTTAAGAAGAAAATTAAAGTGACCTATATATTTTACCAACCCTAGATAATTCCTGTTAACCTTAGGATGTTTCTATTTCCAGTTTGCTCTTTATAAGTAATTCATTTACACAATTATGACCATACTCTAGGTGTAGCATCCTCTTTTTTTGTGATAAATATTATGGAAAGAGTGAATCCCCATATTGTTAACTATTCTTCAAAGATAATGTTTAATGGCTCCATCTCTCTCAATCTAAAGAAATGATTCCTTACAAAACTAGCTTCTCAAGACTTCTTTTACTAATTAAAATCTGGCCCAAGTCTTTGATACTGCTGTTTTTAACCACAGGGCCATTGTTAATTAGAATCCATACTTGATGGTTCAGACTTTAGACACTCGTTTGAGTGTGTGCTTAGTGTGGTCACAGCTGATTTCCAGCATCCTAAACATGTGTTAAACTGATTGGATTACACTGATTATGTTATTGCTTCCATAATGCACCAAAGCACAGGTTTGTTTCAGTTTTCAAATGTTTTGCCCTTCCTCCGTGACATTTTCTTGTTTCTCCTGCATGACATTTTCAAGATAATACTGTGAAACCTTCGTAAGTGAATGTTCCCTGACACCCTTTTGAGAGAAAGCAGAAGGTTTTGTAGCAAGCACTTATGAAGTACTTACTTTATTCACCACATGTATACTGTTTAAAAAACATAATCATTCTTTAAATAAGTTTATTGATGTGTATTTATGGGAAACACACTTATATAGTATATCAGTTTAGATGATTTGTGAGTCGGTCCTAAAGTATCATCTGTTACTTAGAGGAAAAGCTCATGGTAAAGACAAAGCGTGTGTCTACTTTGAGTCAGTTTAAAAGGGCTGTGTTGGTACAACTAGTAAAATAAGCATTTGTGTATTATCATCTTTCTTTACAACCAATTACCTTTCTATAACAGGAAGTCATCAATGCTCTGAAACAAACTTGGCACGTTTCCTGTTTTGTGTGTGTGGCCTGTGGAAAACCCATTCGTAATAATGTTTTTCATTTGGAGGATGGTGACCCCTACTGTGAGACTGGTAAGATCCTAAAGCCGTTTGTTTCTTAAGTTTTGAATAAGGATAAAACATTAACCCTTATATTACTATAAAGTTGAAAAGAAATATTGGGCAAAGTAGATTTCCTGTTTTCAGGGCATTTAAAGCTACGCTAAATACATAGCAAAAAACTATGTAAAATTTTTATGACTTTGTTCAACAGATATTCCCAATATTTCATTAAGAGAAATGAGCATATAAGCATTACCTAGTAGGAAAATATTTTGCTTGAATCCCTAATAGTTTATGGATATGAATTCTACCAATTTGTGTAGCTTAAAGCCACCTCTTACACGCTAATAGTGAATTTTGAGTGGTTTTAAACATGAGAAATGATCACCTTCTGAACATGATATTGATTTGCTCTTCAAGGCAGTGGTCTTGACAATAAATTGGAAGTCTTTTTTTACTCTTCCTGAATGGAAAGGTAATCTTGGCTTGGATGGTTCCCTTAGTAAAATTATTTTTAATAAATAGGCTCCAAGGACCCATCTACTACATTTCTTATTACCTGAGCTCTGAACACATCTTTTCTTTTCCAGAGACTAGAAGTAAACTTTCATAACACTTATTTATTAATATTACTCTTTCCTAGGTATTAGTACCATATATATGTTTCAAAAAATAAACTATTTTCCCTTTATCATGTCTATATTCACTACCACTGCATTTCCACTATGGAGTTTTATTGTTGATCTGCCTTGAAACTCAAAGTGTGGTGCTGGAGGAAGGGAATATTGCACACTAGTTAAGTTAAAGGAGCAGTCAACTTCTGATTTGAGGCTAGTCAAATTAGACATCACTTGGACCCTTTTTTGCTCACTCAGTTCCTTTTAGTTCCTAGTTGGGACCAATCTAGATCTATGCCATACTGTCCACCAGGAAGCTCTCTGGGAATTCCAGTGATCTACCCCATCTATGGTCTATTTTGGGACAGGATGGCTACGGGCTGCCTACCCTGATTCAATCAGAATATTTCAATATATTTTGTAATTTCACCTAGTTCTTCTGAAAAAAGAGCTTTATTATTATTTTTTTTAATTAAGCTTTGTGAGACATTGGACTAACTGGCAGATAGTCCCTGTCTAGCCAAACACATACAAAACTAGCCTTAGTATCATACTTAATATAGTCTAAGAAGTTCGATTTTTGAAACCCAAAAATTGCTTACAGTAAGGGAACAGCATTATTGAAGATTTGTTTTAATGTCACTTCTAATCAGCTTGATCTATTTTGTTGTATTTCTTTAACCTCCTGCATTTGTTACTACCGAGATTTTCTCATCTCAGTAAATGGTCCACTGTCCAGTATCCCAAACCATAAGATTCTGCTCTTGCCATGTCTAATCTAATTAGTAAAATCTGGCAGTTCTACCCCCAGTGTATATTGATTCATTCATGTCTCTCTACCTCAACAGTCAGAACTAAATCCAGCCCACTCTCTTTGCGTGGACACTCTAATTACCAACTAAAATGGTATATCTTCTTCCCCCCAATCCTCAAATAGCAGCTATGATAATATTTTGTTTCAGTGTGAATTAGATTATACTTGATACCTTTTGGCTTCCCCTTGAGGAATCACTGCACTCCTTATTAGGCCAACCTTATCTTCTACCACGTTATTTTCTGTCACTTGAGTTCTACGCAAACCTATCCCCTTTGTTTTCCCGAACATGCTAAGATTCTTCCTGCATCAGGGCTTTTGTACTTGCTGTTTCTTCTAACTTACCTGTTCTTCCTCAGATTTTCTGTGGTGATTTTTCCTTTTTTTGGTCAAGTCTTGGCACAACTGTTACCTCCGCAGAGAAGCTTTTTCCAAGCCCGCCTAGTTAATGGAGTGTTATGTACTCCCCACAACTATTCTGTATCACGTGACTGGTTTTTTTCGTGGTTCTTGTCACAGTCTGAAATTATTTATTATCACTTATTTTAAAAATATAATAAATGATGACATCCTATTCCTAGTGAGATTATAAGGACCATAAAGAGAACAGACACTTCTGTCTTCACCACTATAACCCTCATCAGTGGTAGGCACATAGTAGGACTCTGAATATGTGATGAGCAAATGCTGCTAAGAAATACTGAAAATTATTAAGAGAGGTAAATCAAGTTAGAAATGAAAGTCTACTTTCTACTCCAGCTGCATAAAAGAAAATTGCCAGTAAGTTCTAATTTAGTAATAATAAAGAAACATCTCATCAATACTACTCTCTTCTGAAGGAAATCCTACTAGCATTTTATAACTATAATCTCTGTCAAGTAAATGGTATTCTCTGGCTAAGGATTTTCAGCATTAAGTCATAAATTTGAAAGGAAATCACAGCAAAAGACTAGGGGCTAATACGGTTATGATACAGTCCAGCTAGAAACTCAGTCACGGCACTTAATTCATGGAAGTTTCTTGTGACTTTTTTTTCTTCCTACTAAGTCAGATACTCTACGAAATGTGCTGATATCAGATATTTCTTCTGATTTTATGTTCTGTAGTCTTATTGTTGCTAGTTTTTGGAGGTTCCCTTGTCTTTTGTTAAAACAGTCCTATCTGTTGATAACTTACCAGGGATCAGAGTTGTTCTTCATATGTATTTGGACACTTAAGTAACTGGAGATATGTGAGAAGTATTATGTGGGAAAATGGAATAAAAAACGTTAATTATGTAAATAACATTTACCCCAAAGGTAATTACCCTGAATTAAACACCCCAAAGTTACCCTGAAACATGCTACACTTTATTTCTCAAGCCAAACATGTCTTCTGAACATTTTCCAGTTCTTAGTAACTCTATCTTTATCTTCTCATTTAATTCCAGTTTTGTTGCTGCTTTCTAGAAACTATTATTCTAAAGCTTTGTCATGTTTCAATTATGTCTCCCCACCCCTACCCTGCCCCTGTACAGATTATTACGCCCTTTTTGGTACCATATGCCATGGCTGTGAATTTCCCATAGAAGCTGGCGACATGTTCCTGGAAGCCCTGGGCTATACCTGGCATGACACTTGCTTTGTATGCTCAGTAAGTAAACATCTTATTTCCAAATTAGAGGAGCACAGTATGGCCAGTTTTAGCCTAAGCACTAAATGGAAATAACAGTTCTTGTATCATTCAATCCTTCACACATGAAAGTATTTTTACAGTGATTTTAAAAGTTGTTCATTGAAAGTTTTGGCATTTTTTGAATTGTTTGGCACAGAACAAGGTACTTAGTCCTTTAGAGAAAATCTTATTTTTAATAAGTTTGTGTTTATAAGGAGAAACCACATATTTCTTAAAACAGTAAGAGGCCTTTACTTTTTTTTTTTAATTCTGTTTTATTGAAGTGTTTTTAGTAATTTTTGGAAACATGGGTACCTGAAATAGAAACAAACAATTCTAAAGATCTGTTGTTGAATTAAAAGTGGAAGCAAACGGTATGTTGATTTACGTCCTTCCATAGCAATAGTCCATGAATATTTTTTTTCCTTTTAGGACTGTAATAAACATTTAGTGATATATTTACCTATTTTGTTTTGATATTCTAATATTTTTGGTTTTATTTTTAATGATGAGAATAGCTGTAGAGACATTTACCATAAGACTTTAAAAAAAAAAAGTTTTATTTATTTATTTATTTGAGAGAGAGAACAAGAACACGCATGAGCAGGGGAAAGGGGTAGAGGGAGAAGCAGACTTCCTGCTGATCAGGGAGCCCAACACACAGCTTGATCCCAGGACTCTGAGATCATGACCTGAGCTGAAGGCAGACGCTTAACTGACTGAGCCACCCAGGCATCTAGGTGCCCCCTTAAGACTCTTTTTAATTTAGAAAGTAAATATCCAATAAAGATACTCTGTTCAGATGTTTGATTTTTTAAAAATTACATTTAATATATCTAATAGTTTTTAATACCCATTGTATGAAGGGAAAAAAGTAATGTTAATTGAAGTCAAATGATGTCCCCAAGTATTACCTGGTTGACTATTAAATTCATCTGTGTACTTCTTCCTTCTCTTAGACTTCATGAGATCTTTAAAATGCAACAACTTAGAAGACTTGCCTTCCCCTGTTCTCTGGTAGAGCTGCTCTATTATACTATACATATTTAAGAAAGGCAATAGGAAAGACAGGATCACATAAATGCAGATAGTAAGTGAACTGTATAATCATCCAGTAGCCAGATGTTGACCAGTAAAAACCAGATGTTTTTACTATAAGAAACCAAGAAAATGAATTAAAAAGAATTCTCAGGTATTCTGTGCCTATGTGTTTGGGGTCTTGGGAATATTTGGCTAAGCAATTGTATTGTGTTTTCATTTTGAGTGCTGTGGTTCCCTGCAACAGGAAGCAATTTTTAAAGCATTGATGAGCATTTGGGAAGAGAAATTACAATTAATGTGATCTCTTTATGTGTTTTCTTATTAGGGCCTAGTAAAGAAAAATAATGATCAGTGATTTAAATAAATTAGAATGCATTCTAGGAAAAGGTCATTCTTTATTGCTTTTGAAAAATTATATGAAATACCATAGTAATCATTAAATGTCAGAGCGTCTAGTACAGCCAATGAAAGTGCTTCGTCTTACCCACCAAGTGAAAAGCCGTTTTTCCCTTTTAGGCATATTTGACAAAATAATGATATTCTTTTAAATAATGCTTCTTTTTCAGGTATGTTGTGAAAGTTTGGAAGGTCAGACCTTTTTCTCCAAGAAGGACAAGCCGCTTTGCAAGAAACATGCTCATTCTGTGAATTTTTGAAAGTCAACAGTTCAGGGATAGAGAAGAAATTTGAAGAGAAAGAGGAGAATTGGAATTACCAATTAATTTTTAGATTTAATATTTATGGGAATTTTGAAAAATAATAGTGGCCCTGGAGGGATAAATTCCAGCTTTAAAAACCAAATCTATGAGGAAATATTTGGCTTCATAAAGTAAAGGGACAGTTTGGCATTTATGATTACTTTTTTCCTGTATTTTCTGTCCATAAAATTTTTATAAAAACCCAATTTCCTGGTTGACTATTAAATTCATCATAGAATAAATTAGTGGATAATTAAATTTTAGAATAAAACCTCTAACATCTATGCTGAATTAATGATACTTTCTTGCCTTGTTAGGTAGTTCTGAGTAAATCTGTAAAAGGCAATGAAAATTGCCTTACACTCTATCATTAAATGTATTTTTTTTAAAAATAGTGCTTATCTTTAAAAGAGGAAATAGGAGTTTAAATAGAATTTTATCAGTAGTAGGTGTCAGTTTTTAAAAAAAACTATGTACTTTTTTTAATCTTACTGATCATTCCAGTGGGAAAACTAGTAAGATTTTCATCAAAATGTGCCATGCCAATAAGAGATATTATCTGTTTCTTTCATCCAGCCCCCAAAAAGCCACCACATTGCTTATAAATTTCAAATTTTTGCCTATTATTAAAATATGACCATTTCTATTCATTGTGTATGTTTTATCACCTGTATTAGTGAAACTCCCATTTTTTCTCCTTCCCTCATGCTGAGGTCGAGAATGTGAGTAGAATAGAGTGAGGTTAGGAATTACAGGAAGTCAGAGGACTGCATTCAAAAATTCTTTTTAAAATTCTCCCCTTTTCAGACAGTGAATCCATTATATCAGTTTCAGGTTTGTACTACTGACTGATAAAGGTTTGAGAACTGTCTTTGAAGAATAATTTTTTTCTTAGTCCTACATTATAAAAGTAAAATATTGGCTTGGGGATGTGATAAAAATCTAAGGGTTTTTTTTTTTTCTTTCTTTCTTTCTTTCTTTCTTTTCTTTTAGTAGTTCTCTCTCAGTACTATATAAATCACTTCCAAGTGTGATCACAATGTTTGGAAAGCTTTTATTCCAAGAGACTGGTAGTATAGGAGGGGAACATGATCAGTTACTCATACTGGCTCATTATTTGTTTTCTTTATTTGGGGAAAAAATTATGTAGCCCATGAAGACAGAGCAACAGTTGTGAAATTGTGAATCCTATTGGTATTTGCCCAGTGGGAAAACAGATTAAAACATTTGATAGTTTTTCTCTTTGTTTCCAGAATGGATGAAAGCCCATCATCCCACTAAAAAATACTAATGTGTCTGGGGCAAAGTGCTTTTAAAGTTGAGACAGAGCCCAAGTCCTCCCTGCCCCATAACTCACAAAGGACTTCATTTCCATTGTGTGCGTATTTGTTATAGAGGGAGGTTTTAGGCTCTGATATTTGTTTAACCTCCCTAAGAACTTTTCAAGACATCTGTCCTGAAAGTTGTTCATTTATGGTCTAGCAGATTTATATTATATGAAGATAATAATTAACTGAGAATCAGAGCACGAGAAGGGTGACATGAAGTGGTTTCACCAGTAGCAACCCTGAACTGCCTTCTCACACTGCATCTGTAGGGAGGCAGAAAGTTTTACTTTGGAAATAAAGTGCTGGAACTGAATTGTGCATTATTTCTCATTGCTGCTGAAACCACCTGTAGAGTCCACGCTGGCTGATGTGCGTAATCACGTAACTTCGTGTCAGTCTCTTGCTTCACACAACATAAAAGAAATTGGTGGTTCTGTTTGGATGTTAGTAGAGATTTTTTTTTTTTTTTTTTTTTTTGGTGTTGTTTAGTTTTGCCTTTATAGATTTTATGCCAAGATAGTATTTGAAAGGTCAGTGACATTTGGGTATTTCCTTTCCAGAATTTTATTTGACCTGGATTTCTTATTAAGTTATCTGACATTAAGGATGTCATTGTGTACATTATTTCATGGAGCTTAATGTTGCATTCCTCTAAATTTTATCCCTAAAAAGATAACATTGCTTCTTAATTTATCATTTTGTCTTTGTGCTTTGTTCTTCTCCTTTGTGACAAAGCTTTGTATCGATTCTAAATCAGTTAATCCTGTGAAAGAAGTATTGACTATAACCCAGAAGAATCTCTGTATTTTCCAGTGGGGAATGAATGCTATATTTAATACACCAGCGTTAATCTTTTAATAACTGGCAGAGCACTTTATTCTTCTGGTGAGCTCCCTGAATATTTATTTTTCTGATTATAAATATTCCATGTCAGTAGCATTTTTTTAATTATTACCTCTTTCCTGTAGAGCATTTACTTTTAGTATTTCTTGATGTATATTTTGGAATGCTGTACTTAGTATATAATACAGATTTAAATTACAGTACATGACTCTTAAACATCTTTACTTGTATTTCCCAGATTGAAAATACTAGCAATAGATTCCAGTTTAAAACTTTTTTCTAGACTTACAAGGGCTGCATTTTGCCCGCTAGAGTGGCAGCCTAGAGAGGATCCCTGCCGTTTACGTTTATAGTAGCGCACATATTTCTTGTTGATTCAGGCTACAATTAGAGTCTAAAACTAAAGCCTAGTGATTTGGTCACAGGAGGAAGACAAACAGAAATAAGAGTTGAAATCTTCAAAATTTAGTGTAGCCTATCGTTAAAATTATCTACAACAAAATTGTTTTCGTGGTGCCATTCTTAAGGGGTCATATATTATTTATAGAAAATAATTCCTTCCTCTCCCTTGTTCAAGTATGAATCTAGTGTTAGAGTCACAGTTTTGTGAGGTTTAGAGCTTTTTTCATCATCTCTATTGAAAGGAGAGGCTTTTCAGACATCAGGGAAGGGAAAACAATGAAAAACTTGACCCAAATCTAGTGCGGTTTCAGTTTGTCATCTTTCTTCTCCAGATATTTTAAGGTATTGGGTTTGGATTCTCAAAGTATCGTTTGCCTTATCTGTTAATCTCTATTTTCTGTCTCTTTACATTTTTACATTTGTATACATCTGTACTGTTTTGCTTTTGGATACATTTTCAGATTAAAAACCACATGAGAAATATAATCAGTGTAGTAATACCTTGATGTGCACATGCTGAATAAATAAACGGCTGCAGTGATATAAACAAGCTCTCCTGGTCTTTCTTTTTTGGGTAGCAAGTGGTTTCCATTGGAATTCCATCATGGGAATAAAATAGTGTTCACAGGAGAGGAAAAGAAGTAATGATTCTCAGGAGAATCTCTCTTTTATGATTTTCGCCTATCAAAATGTCCCAGAAACCAAACATTTGAACAGACTGTCACATTTGTTCTATTTTAATCCATTTTTATGCTCTGCATGTAGCATGTAGACAATACGTGTTTGTAAGTTAATACATAAACAAGCCTCATTGTTGTAGAAAATATTTATTGCTGAAAAACTTTATTGGAATAACCTGTCATACCAAGCACTGTATCGTATCATATATCTTACTGAAACAGCATAAGTCCTCAAGTCCATTTTCACGCTTTAACCCACCAGGGTACATTACTTCATGGTTAACTCATCCCGATCTCATTAGTTAACTTTTCTATAACTCGGAAAGCTCATCTATTTCTCATTTGTTTATTGGTTTGACTAAGATTTTTTTTTCCTACTGTATAAAGTTAAGAGCAATGTTTCTGTCGCAGGCTATATATATTGGAAATAAAAGACAAATTCAAGTCTATTTGCTCATAGTATATTAAACTCCAGAAGCCAAACTTACAAGGGCATCAAGTCTGCATTTGACATTTTAATAGCTGCTGTTTGGTTTCTATCAATCACGTCATTGCACATTAAAATGCACCAACAAAATAAGAGATCTGTCATTCCTTCGTTAAGAAACAGTAATCCAGTGCAAGATTTATAGGCTTAAGACTCAACAGTGTGTGTTCACAATAAATCCCCATTCAGTGCTCAAACCAGAAACAAGCCTCCCTGTCGTTCAGTGTTTTCTGGTCAAAATGCCCCCAATATAAGATTATCAAAGGTTTTCTTACAGAACTACATATAAAATCCTTTTTGCCAGCAAAAGCTTAATTTAGGTTGGCGGTTTCCCTTTTTGAGTACTCTCAGACAAGATCTTGGTTATATCAGAAACACATAGGTACTGATGTATTATTAGTGGGCCTGGTGTTAATTAGGGAGAATTACCAGAAATAGTTTGCTTCGTGGGAATTTATTACAGAATCACACTTGACTGATGGCAGAATAGGAGTTGCTGAGAGAGAGCAGCTCCCACTCATAACCACTAATTAATAGGGTGCCAAAATTCCGCAGAGAAGGTTTCATCCCGAGTGTGGGAGCCGCAAAGGGAAAATGGTTCCTTTGCAGTATTTAAAATTTAAAAGAGGAAAGGGGGTAGGACGCATGGCTACCCAACAGAAATCTGAGACTGGTACAGTTTTGTGTTGTACTCATGAATGAGAGCATTTAACTCGGGAAGCACCGAGCCCAAAAGTAGCTTGTATATGCATTATACCAAGGAGATAGGCAAAGGTGTTTTTAATGTGGCAAGTGTCTGATTCACTCATCTGTTCATTTTATGAGGAGAGTTTAGAACAAACCATTTGTCTGTGGCATGATGTTGCTGAACTTTTATTCTTTATTCCATGATTTAGAAGTTGTCTGAGTAGGTGGTGAGATTACATCAATGATTAATAAGAAGGTGTGGCTTCCACACCTTGAACCCAGAGTTGAGGAAAAACAAGGTGTGTTTAGTGATTGGCACTAATGGCAGAGCACTGGGGGAGCCCTATTAATGAAAGTTGGCCAAGAAGGCAAGTCTTTTCCCTGTGCTTGTAACGCCGTGTAATCACATACAATAAAGCTTGGAGCCATTGCTTGGTATGCAAGAATAAAACATTTCCATGTCACAAAACCGCTGATCACTGAGCTCAGGGAGAAAAATGAAACAATTTATAATTCACAGAGAGTATAATTTTTCAATTTCTCTTCAGGCAATATAGTTCCCAAGGAAAATGACTTCTGTGCCAGGCCCGTGGATTGATTGACACGGTCTCTTATGCATCCGTGTTTCAAAGGACAGCGTTTCTGTTTCATAACTGGATTCCAAATTAGTTTTTCATCATGTTCTAATTGTCACATTTTCTCTCTGGTTCAAATATACTTAGGTTTGTTTTTTCTTCTTTGTCTCCCCTTTTTTCCTTTGCTTGTAGAGCACACACAGCTGGTGCTATTCCTAAGCACTTGTTCAAAAATGCCATTGTTTGTTTGAAGTATTTTAGTGGACTTTAAGATCTTCAGAGCTGTCTTTTGATTTTTTTCCTCTAGTGTATCACTGATATGCCAAACGTCCCTTGGTAAATAGGAAAGTAACTTGAACTCCTGTGACTTATCAGACCAATATTAGTTTTTGTGTAAATAGAAATCTTTGCTTAGGTGACCATATATTGAGGTCATCTGACCCCAGATGTTTTCTCTATTCCTGTTCACTCGAGAATCCTGACAATCTCAATCCTCCTTAGTTGAATGAAATGGAGAGCAGACATGTTCTTGGAGCTTGCTAAGTATGAACTTGGAAATATAAGTGAAAGTAATCCTAGCTTCATCAACAGAAACTTATCATTTATTCTGCTCTGTGAAATTATTACACTACTGCTTAGTAATTTTTCTGATACTATTATAAGTGCTTTAGATAAAAATGAACTTAATAAACAAGTTGAGGCACCAAAATGAACCCAGAACTTCTGCTCCAAGAAAATGTATAGATCAATGATGTGAATCTATGAATTTGCTTATGCCTGACTATCCAGGAAGTTCTAGCTGATCTTTAACAATATCAACATAGTATAGATGGTGAGAGTATAAATTAGGTTTGGGGAGAAAGTGATTGATTATGCCTGGTGGGTCAGACTGGGTCCAATGGGGAGGCCGAAATCACATTGAGATTAGCAGGAGACATAAAGAATTATTACGCTAAGATGGAAGAATAG